GTGGCCCCAGCCTCGGCCCCAAGGCACGCTGCGGGTTCCCGGGGCCCGGGCGCCCCCTGCGCGGCGGCCCCAGGGGCTTTGTTCTCCACCCCGCCAACCCCTGCGGCCGGTCCCCAGACCCGGTTCACGCTCGTGCCTGGGTCTGCTCTGCTCCGCTCGGCTGCGGGCGTGGAGGAGCCAGTTTGCGGTCCTGGGGCCCTGGCTTTTGTTTTCCTTCCTTTCTCGCTCCGCTGGAAGCATTTCCACTTAGGAGGAAAGCCCCGGGCCAACGCCCCCGGAACGGCGTCCTGCGCGCCCCTGGGCCCCGGGCGCCCGCCCTCGCGCCCAGCGCGGCGTCTCCATCCCGGCGGCCAAGTTCACTTCTCGGACGGCCGGACTCGGAGGACCGAACGCCCGCAGCGTCCGGGGATGAGACTGGCAGGGGGACACGCGTCGTCCGCCGGTGCTCTTTCTGGGATGTTTGGAGAAGTGCAAGGTTATCTCACGTGATGTTTCGCCCAGCCACTCAGTAAGGGGCTGTGCGTGCGGAGGTGAGAGAGGCCGTGGAGGCTGAAAAGTGAGCGCGTGGGTTCGCCCTGCCGAGAGCCCTGGGCTCCTCCTCCTCCCGAGAGCTGTGGAGGTGCGCGGGCGGCGTCGCGGCTCGGGCTGGGAGCACCCAGGGGCACCGTCCCACTCGGTGGAGATGCTGGAGCGGAGAGCGCCCATGCCCGGAGCAAGCACTTGCTGCTCTCCCGGAGTCCCCGCCTGGTCCTGGATAGGGATGTAATGGGAGAAAAAGGGGCAGGGTCCGGAGAAGGGGATCAGATGATTCACGAACTGACCGCGTCCAGGCCAGGCTGCTGAACTTTGTTCAAGGGTTGTGAGCCTGCAGGGCACAGGCAGAGGTGAGATTCACGGGGCGAAGTTCCTCCTCTGCTGACTTGGTCTGTGGGGAGGAGAAGTCAGGACTCAGAAAGGTCTATTCCTTTACCCCATTCCAACGGCTTTCAAATGTTTTGACTGCCTCACCATTTGAAATTAATTCTTACATGGTCCGAACATCTGCAACCGAAACCAAAGCCTCATCAAATAGTGCCGAACCCTTGTACGTGTACATGTAATTCCAACTGGTATCCCCTCCCCCGCCCCATATTGGGCATTCAATTCAGGGCCTGTCACACTGACCAGCCTTTTTTTATTTTCGAGACAAGTCCTCGAACTTGGCATCCTCCTGTCTCAGCCTCCCAGAGCGCTGGGATTACAGGCACGTACCACCGGGCCTAGATTTTTTTTCTTCTTTTTTTTTAATTCTCAGCGTACGTACTGGCTGCCTCTCATGATTGGGATTTTTGGGTACTCATACTTTGAAAAATGGTCTCTTTTGGCTAAAGTAATTCTTGCTGTTCGACAAAAACAGATACTTTGTAACTAATTATATTCCTAATGGTCTACCCCAGCATCTACAGAGGCGTAGGAGGGGCAGGTAGAGGATGGGAAGTATTTAAGAGGAACTGAAGAAACCGGAAGGGGAGATTACTGGACCGTGAGTCAGTAGTAGTAGCTCTCTGGTGAGCGTATAGGGAGGGCAGAGGAAAAGAATCTTGCACTGAATACAGGTTGCGCTGATAAAATGATTATCGTCCATTCTTGGTATCAGTTGATAAATGATACCGACCAACTGATGGTAGCACCTAACAGCCGGAACCCTGCTCTGCCTTTTCAGTCACTGCCATTGAGCATATTTCAGTGCGGTTGTGTATATGGAGAGTGTGTGTAAGGGTGATGGTTTTCAGACTAAGTCTAGTGTGAAAAGAACCAAACTGTGACATTTATTGCAGGCATTTTACCATGGTCCCTTTGATGTAATTCTAAGCACTCTGTAATTTAATGATTGTTTCTGTTTGTTTGTTTTGGGGTTTTTTTGGTACCGGGAATCGAACTCACGACCTCGCGCTTGCCAGGCAGGTCGCGCTTGCCAGGCAGGCGCTGTGCCGCTGAGCTAAATTCCCAGCCCCTTGATGATTGTTTATGCACAACTTATATATAAGGAAATGTGCCAACGGTGGGTAAACAATGGGGAATACAGTGGGACCTCCATACTTACCGATAATTGGTCCTGGGAAGTGTTGGAGGACTACCAAAAGTGACAAGCACCCAGCAAATAGTTTAGGCTGGAAAGGGTAGTAGTAAGTCTCAAAGCAATGGACGCCAGTCAGTTCCAACTTGCAGCTTGAGTATCAAACAAATGACAAGTGCTGAGACAAAAATTTTCTCTTCAAAAAGCCTTAAGTGCCGAATTTGATGAGTTTCAAAGCAGTACCAAGGTAGGACTGTATATTTTTGGTGGTTTTTTTTTTTTTTTTTTTTTTTTGGTTTTTCTCCGGTACTGGGAAACCGAACTCACGACCTTGCGCTTGCCAGGCAGGTACTTTGCCGCTGAGCTAAATCCCCAGCCCCGGTAGGACTGTATTAACTGGCCAATAAATACATGCCTCCTGGCCTAGTTGTCTTCCTACGGCACTGTACTTTCTAAGCCTCTGCTTCCCAGCATCTCATGATGACTTTATCTAGGGATCAGAGAGGAGAGGAGACGGGGAGGGAGGAGAAGAGGGGTGCATGTCCATGTGTGACCCCTGTTCACTTCAGTCGGTTTTGGGGGGAAGCAGTTGCTCTTTGTCTGTAAACTTCTCTCTCTCTCTCATCATCTGTCTCAGTCCTAAATGACACTTTGCAGCCTGTGAAAATATTCAGATAGTGCATCTATAAAATAAAATTATGACACATCTCTTCAGAGGTAGCAGAGGAGTGAATGTCTCTGCTGGGGTTCCACAGGCCTCAGAGGGTGGCACTGGGACAAGGGCTTCCAGGAGCACCCGGTGAGCTCCTGTGGAGGTTGAGGAGGGGGAGTTCCAGAGAACAGAGGTGGGGACCAGACCATCGTCCTGATTTTTGTCCAGGGTCTTCTCTACTCTCCGGGGGCATTTTTGCTAGATGGGACTTTTTCGTATTGGTCCCCCCGTCCCCCCAGAACATTGCCTTTTCTCAGGTCTATTACCAAAAGTAGTACAACAAATACTGCTGCTTTTCTAAAATCAGAACATAGCATGGAGGTCACAGGTGGGAGGGATTGGTCTAGACTCGAGTTCCTCTCTCTAGTTTGCATTCTTAGGCGCTCCCTTGCTCCACTGAAATGCTGTCCAGGCCACGGGCATTTCATTTCATGCGCCTTCGCATCCAGGGCGGGTTCCGTTGGCATGTGTACAAACAGGGAGAAGGAGCAAGGAGTGGAGACTGAGGAGGAGAGACTCCATCCCCAGGGCACATCTGTGAGGAGGAAGTACAGGCAAGAGGGAATGCGAGGGCAGAGTGGATGTTTTTAGAGGGGGCTGTGTGTGTGTATTGGGCCAGGTTCAGCGATTCTTCAGTTGATGAATGGGAATAAGAGAATAATTCTTTTATACTTTCAGATATAGGTCTAAGTTTTGGAGCTGGGGTTGGGCATCTTTAGGAAAAATCAGAGAAGGTACAGACATAAAGATTATTTTCATTGGCTCAGGGCTTGAAAATTACATTTGTTTTTTTTTTTTTTTTTTTTGGTTTTTCTCCGGTACCGGGAACCGAACTCACTACCTTGCACTTGCCAGGCAGGCGCTTTGCCGCTGAGCTAAATCCCCAGCCCCCGAAAATTACATTTGTTGACTCTACAAATGACATGAGCAGGGGCTTCAGATTCGAGGTGAGACGCGTGTGTGTGCTCGCGCACAAGCACATGGTATCCGGAGCAGGGAGCCTTGGGATGGTGGTGCTGGCCATCTGCGCTACAAAGCTGCTATTGAAAGCAGGCCCAGATGCTAACTCTGCATGCCGGGTGGAAGCGGTCGGCAGCCAGAATATTGCTTTTCAGGCCCATGATTTACGGGCTTGCTTTTAATTTTAATATTTTCTCTCTAGAGATCTAACAAAATTTCCTTTCTTCAGGGAAAAAGATACGGTCATGCTTAGGAGTCTCCCCTCCGCCCCATGGTAGTAGAGGAGCTGTCTCCCCAGTGTCACTGAGGACTGTGGGAGCCTGAGGCTGGTGAAGCTGTGACCCTGCAGCGCCTGGTTACCTAGGAGTCTGCCCTTTGACAGTTTCTTTATAAGAGATTCACATTACGCTGCTGGATTTCACCCCGGTTATTTTGTAGGCACTTGGGTGAAATTCCCATGATTGGAAGGGCCAGGAACACTTGCTGAGGTGTCTCAAGGTATTGCTTTTATTCCTCCTGATTAGGAGTGAATTACTACCTCCTTCCCTCAGCCTCCAGTCATGCCCAAATTGCCTCTGAACACCTATATAATTTAGTGCATCTGAACGCTCCTGTGCAAATGGGTATATTTAAAATCAATCACATACTAATTTTAATCTCCACAGATTCCCAGTACATTCAAGGGAATGTAAGCATTTCTTTAACCACAGTGATGGAAAGGCATATCGTGAAGCTAGAGCTGGTGCCTGGGGCATAATCCGGAGTGCCGGCAAATCAGCTGGCTCTTTGCAGACGATAAATGACTCCAGCGTTGGAGTAGTGGAATGGGTATGGGAAGTTTGAAAATGTAGAGAGCAGCCCAGCTCCCTGGGAAGCGAAGGGAAATCCAGTTCTGGTATCCAACAAGGAAGTTGCAAGCTTTCTCTGTGTCCCCATCAGATGTCAGTGGAAAACACTTGTGGTTGATCGGAACACAATTGTGGTTGATTTGATTAATCTCACATTGGCAGACTCTCCTGGGCTGTTGGTGGATTCACTGGCTTGTGGTTTTCAGGGCAAAGTCACTTAGTGGCCTTCTGTTGTGAATCCAGCATCTCCTCTTGAAAATCCACGAGGAGAAAAGTGGTAGAGGTGGTTGATAGTATCCAGCATTTGTGTGGCCCCCGTGTGCCAGGAACTGTGCTAAACCACTGGCTTTAAAGACCTTACATGCAGTCCTCCTGGCGGTCTTCTGTGTCCTGAGAAAAGCAGATGCAGTTGTGAAGTCTGGTAAAGTGTGTGTGTGTGTGTGTGTGTGTGTGTGTGTGTGTGTACACATACACACCTCCCTCCAAGACCTGCCTTCCTTCCCCATACCCCAGTGGGAAATTAGATGGGATCTGTGAACTGGAAGGCTTATTTTTGTATGTAAAGTTAATGCATTGGAAATCAGCCATGGATTGACATATGGCTGACTTGACATCACCAAGATTAATTTCTGCCTGTCACAGGGCTGTTCATACTGACAGTCCTCTCCCCTTTGCTTTGGTTATACACTCATCCTGGGTGGTTTTAAAGATTGTTTCAGGCCGGGGATATAGCTCAGGCACAGTGCCTGCCTGGCAAATGAAAGGTCCTGAGTTTGATTCCCAGTTGCAAAAAAAAAAAAAAAAATTGTTTCAAAGCACTTACTGTCACTGGCTGGGTCTAAGGGTCCCTGGGGCTGAAATAAGGAATTTAACCTACCCCTTTAACACAGGTGTGCAGGCTGGTTTCCGGAAGCCTCAGTAATAGAGGATTTACCGGAAGTAGATACAGGATGT